CGATGGTAAATGTTTGTCCACTTGTCAAAATATCATTTTTATGCGATAGAAAATTCTTTGTTACATATACATACACATATGTATATAACGACGTATCGTATAAGATATTGTCGCAGCTGTCTTCTTCTTCTTCTTCTTCTTTTTCTTTTTAATATTATTTATTCTTCTTTTTCTACAACGTTCTTTACCATTGTAGCCCGAGGTAGAGAGCTTCGTTGCACCGAGAACGCATTACGTCTGCAATTATGGTGTTTCTCTTTGGTACGAGACGACGGACCAAGTGGATGATAACGGAGGGTTGTACTCAACCAGCAGATCACGGAAGAGAATGAAACAGGAATATGCAATACATGCTTGCGTATTCTTGCGAAATCAGATTATTGCTACACCAGACCTACCGAAATCCTTCATTTTTTCGGCCTACCTTATAATAAAAAGGTATAAAGAAAGAAGCAATGAAAGAAGCGTATACACAAACACACACACACTTTATCTCTCTCTCTCTCTCTCTTTCTCTTCTCAATCTGATATTTCAAGGAAGGGAATATTAATGTCCGCGAGGACCTCGGGCTAAGCTAAAGCCACGTTCTCGCGAGGTTCTACAACGCCCTGTGCCGCCCTTTATATGCCCACCAACCGCGACCTACGTAATACTCCAGCACCCCATAAAGCTAATGAGTCACGGGAAGTTTCATGGGTTCTCTTCTTCTTCTTCTTCTTCTTCTTCTTCTTTTTCTGGCAACAGGTGCGTGCGTGTATGTCTGTCTCTCTGTAGTGTGTTTATTTATCACATGCTCATTTTCACCTGGTTATACTTTATTCGATTAATCCCCTTCTATTTGTCACTTTGCACAAAACGTTTGTAAGGAACTTGATTCTTTTTATCTCACGATCCAAAGGTTAATGAATTATTATCTTAAGTTTATTTAATCATGCGAGATACGTGGAATAATTTAACCTTGAAATTCCTTTTCAAATTAATGTTCCTATCGTTTTATAAGAATTTCTTTTTCAATTTAAAGCAAAATTATTTAACGAGAAATCGAAAAGTTGAAAAAAGTGTATAGTTTTTGTCTGTTAAACGAAATAATTTGCAATTGCAAGAAAAGGTAACGCGGTGAAAGAAAAAGCATACGTATATAAAGGTGAAAGGTTGAGATTAGCGTTGCTAACTTGACGGAACAAAATACTATGGAACAAAGTATCACGATGCTTATCCGAAGAACGTCTAGACGAGCTCGTGAGTCATAAGAATATGCACGTAAATGCTGTGTCGTGTGCTCCCTGCTGCTAAAAGGATTTTAGATAAGAATGAGAGGTGATCGTTTAATTTTCAACATACTAAAATCAAGATAACAGATATAACGTTACTCTCTATGTGCGTTCTTTAGAAGAGTAAATGATAAAATGAAACTCTAAGATGATAAAATTATTTTCTCTAAACTCGTAGAAAAACGCGTTATCTTTGACATTGCACAAACGTAATTCATAAATGATGATACATCATATATACTGTTTCAACAAATATTGCCGAAGATAACGCAACACATACTGTGGTACCTGGTCCATTGAAAAAACCTGCAGCATCTTCCGAGAGATGGAAGCACGATCTCTGCGGTCTTGCACTAATACTGCACCTCCTACCTGATCACAATATTTGCTAATCATATTTATGTTGGAATAATAAAATTGGTGATAGATTTTAAAAGATTTTATCCACGAAAGCTACTATAATGGCACATCCTGCCTAAAAAGCTTAAATCTAAAGAATTCTTAAAACGAATGACATCCTAACATCCTAGTTCCAATAATCATAGCAATAATATGATTTTGTAAAAAAATACAATGAAATAAAATTAACAAAAATAACATTTAATTAGAACATTAAATAAGAACAATTGATTTCTATAAGATTGGTTTTTCCCATCGGAAGCAAGTAGAATTCATTTAATTGTGTTCATTCCTCCGACACAGCACCCACGCAGCCGTACAGCTCGAACGTTTCGAGCGGAATGACGAACTAACCCCCACCACCCACGCAGGCGACGTGAGCGGCACGCTCTTTCTCGAGTAGCTTCGATTGGTGGGGGTAAGCGCAAGCCAATGAACTCTCGTTCGTCGTACGCCGCATCGAATCTAACCGTAGCGATTGGTTCTCGCCATTTTCTATCTCTTTCGAACTTTATAAAACGACGCGCGTTCCCTCCCACCATCTCTCTTTCGCTTAATACCTGGCACCCTTCCGTATCCCTTCCATGGGTTAATTCTACTCTTCCTGCGCCCTTTTTTCTCCCCCACTCTAGCAAAGGCCCTTTCCTTTTCCCTACTCTTCTTGCCACGCTTCTTTTTATAAACCATCCAATTTCTTTTTTTCTCCCGTCGGATCATCCAAGAGACAAGCCTAGTCGCACCTATAGTGCTTCCACAAACGTACTTCTAGAACCTACCCTCCTTCTACCTTTCTTCTCTTTGTCCCCTTTTCGACCAACCCCTTGGTAAAAGACCTTTCCTAGTAGGTGTATCGATACGTATATTCTCGTGTTGCTTCAAATTATCGATAGAAATTTAGAACATATTCTTCTTTTAATTGTTGTTATTGGTACACGCACAAACCTCTTGCATATTAATTATTATTATTGTATACAGTTTATTGTACGTATGTACAATGATAGCGCTGATTTTTGAATTGGTGTTTTCGAAATGTAGCCACCAACGTGTCGTGATATCGAATACGCGAAAGAAAACAAATATTTTCTAGATTAAGAGATCCGGCTTCTCGGAGATGTTCCTAATGTCACGTACGGCTTTTGTAAGCACACACACAACGCGGCTTAAATAAAATTGCAATGAGACAATGATATAAATTTTATCAGCTACAGTCAGAGATGATAATATATCTCTGTTTCTTTTTAAAATAAATAATATATAAAATACTTCGTTAGAAAATTAATGACGATAGATACAAAACAAATGACGCATATTCTTTTAAACAGCATCCTGTTTCTGCAAACAACAACATTTCACTCGTCTAATTCTTTTTTTTTTTTCATCTTTATCATTCTTCGGGAAGATGATTTTGTCGTCATTAATGTTAATTATTAAAAGTAACGCTGAAAAATCCCAAGAACAAAATTGAATATACAAACGTCAGGGAGTTTAAATTCACGTTTACGTGTGTAGAAATATGTATATAAGTGGGAGTACACACGTTCGTGAGATAAACGGGATGACGCGAGTTAATCAGTCGCAAAGATAAAGAGCAATTCGATTGGCGAGAAAGAGTGGGATAAAAAAGGAAGAGAGAAAGAGAAACAAGAGAAGTAGACAGAGGCACGTGCCAGAGTGCACACGAGCGCACGCGCGCACTCGCTTGCCTGCGTCAGTTCAAGCGGTGGCACTCACTCGGCTATTTTCGAAGAACGTGATATAAGACCCGATGACGTTGGTTGGTGGTAGACGCCGACGTACGAGCGTATGCGTAGTCACTTTGAAATTACTATTGCCACTTCGATCGATCGAGTACGTCTCTAATGCATCCACGCGCGCGCACAGACACACACAACACACACACGTCGTACATAGATAGACAGGGACTGATCAACAAGCCATCCGGTTTTAATGACCTTTCGATAGCTCGTATAAAATATACGAGTTAGTTACGTAAAACGAAGGTTGAACCTATTGTTTTTCTTGTCCAATATCCAAAAAAACCTAGTCGATATCTTTTTTTATTTCCTTTTCCTTTTTTATTCCTCTACAAATAGATAATATTATGTTCTTTTCTTATCCGTTACAATTTGCATTCGTATAACTTTTGATCCTATTGAGTACATAATATTCCTTTGACATAAATGCATCCGGTCCTTTCAAATATTGAATCAGTCGGCAAATGTTATACTACATTGATCACCCGATAACTTTTTACTACTGCATATGCAACGGTAGATATTTTTTTTTTTTTGATACACTTTCCTTTTTCTTTCCTACTGATCACAAACATTTTCTAGTTTCCATTTTGGAACAGATTAGATAATTTTAAGATTTTTCTTTGAAAATACCAATACTTTACGAAATTACTGTGCATCACCTAATCAAACAAAAAGAGAAAAAAAAAATAAGAGGGACAGATAAAAAAAACAACAGGAGGAAAAAAACCGGAAAAAGAAGCCGACGATATGACGAGAAGAGATGGAAAGATCACACAGTAGAAAATTACAAAGAACATAGTTCACGATAAGAGTTTTTAATCTATGACGAAGAATCCCCGGCCTTCCCTCTCTCACTCTCTCTCTCACACTCTTACTCACTCACTCACTCACTTATATCTCTCTTACTCACATCAGTTTACATCGATAAAAAGACTTACTTCCATAGGAAGATCAGAGGCACGCACGCACGTGTGCGCTGTGCCTGCGCACGCGCAGGACATCCCCACTCTAGAAAATTTCGCTGGAAAGGCTCTCGCCGGACTCGTGAAGGGGGCCCGACGGGGGTCCGTAGACTGAGACCGTCACGTCGTAGCGAAAGGAAGGGAAGTGGAAAGAAGAAGACGAGAAAGAGAGAAAGAAAGAAAGTGTGAGTGAGTGTGGGACGGTGAGGTGGGGAAGAAGTAGTGAGGGGGATGGGAAACAGCCTCAAAGGCAACCGTCCGACCTACGGAATTTCTCGAGGGGCAGGGAAGGGCAAACTAAAGAGGAATTGGTGGGGAGGAAAAGGGTCCAGGTTAAATCGTCACGCGCAATCCCCACTTCTTTGGGTTCTATCCCTACTACTCATACTTCAGAGGAACGAGCGCTACGTCGGACGGCACGCTTCACTGTGAACACGACAGAAAACCGTGGTTCTTCCTCGAGTGTTAGTCAGTCGGGCTTCGACAATCGTTCCGAGTAGACGGAGAGTTTACTTTCACTACTACTGCTAATACGATTGTGTCATTAGAAATAGACAAGTTTTATGAGAGTTCTGAGAGAGAATAATACACACTAGTGCTTAAAAAAAGAAAAAGAAACTTATCTTTTAATTTCTTTTTTTTCTAATTTCGAGTTTGCGTTCGTAGAAGGATAAAAAAAAGGGACTCCTATTTATTACGAACGAAACGAACAAATTCCGTCGAAATTTGTGTTAACAGTGCAAGAAGAGACTATTATTATTACTACTCATCTTTACTTGTTGTATTCATTTGGATTAAACAGTGCAGTGTGTACTTTACTTACTTGTTTGTTGCGTTCAACAATTAACAAACTATTTTAGTTTGTTGTTTTTTTTCAATATTCTTACATTGAAATTCAGTGATAAGTCGAGATGGTGACCAGCAGCGTTACCGTGGGCGCCACGCTACCCACGCAACATGTACCTCAGGAAAACGGACAACCAACCGCGCAAGCAGCCACAAGTACGACAACTACCAGAAGAACGGGAGAAAACCGACGGGTTGGTGTTCATTTTTTGTCTTCTTACAAATAAATCACAATTAAATACATCGTATAAGACGTGTAATGCATTGGAATGGTGAATTTCATGACGATCATTCCTTCATTTCCGATTTCTTTTAAATAATTTTTTTAAATAATATTTTCTCATTACAATATTCGAAAAACTTCAAAAAAATAAAATGAGGAAAGATAATCCACATATATCTTAATCTCATCTCTTTCAAACCCGACTTCAAAGAAAACTCAATCATCCTGTTTTCTGACCTGCTATTTTGATTTCTGTTATAGAGCAATAAACCGATTATGGAGAAAAAGCGCCGAGCCCGCATCAATAGTTGCCTAAATGAACTGAAGACCCTTATTCTTGATGCCATGAAAAAAGACGTAAGTATCTGTACCTTAAATTAAGTCAGATTCGTTTCGACGATTAATATACTTCGTAGAATTATCAAAATTAATTTGATTATTTTATCGATATTCCTTGGTAAAAAAGAAAAAAAAAAAAGTAGAAAAAAATGATTAGATTGAAACTGAGCGAACCGTCGGTTGTGACCGTATTTTTTGTTTTTTATTGTTATAGCCAGCAAGACATTCAAAATTAGAGAAAGCAGACATCCTCGAGATGACTGTTAAACATATGGAGACAATGCATCGTCAACAAGTAATCTTACAAACAGCGATGGATCCGAACGTTTTGAACAAATTTCACGCGGGTTATTCGGAGTGCGCCATAGAAGTTAGCAGGTTTACGGGATTGGATCCTGGTGTAAAGAAACGTCTGATGAACCACTTGGCTTCTTGCTTAGGAGTGGTTGAACTAAATACTAGTGGTGGTGGTGGTGGTGGTGGTGGTGGTGTTCAAACGGCTACAACGACGACAACTAATATAACGACAACAGCGGCTAATCAACAGTCTGTTCAACCCGCTCCACCGACTACTCAATTGCAAGTGCACATTTTACCTCAAGTAGATGCTACACAAAGAATTCAGGTGCAACAATCTAATGGATTTTTTCTAACGAATAGCAACGGCACGGGATTGCAATTGTTACAAACTAGGCTAACGAACGGTGACATTGCATTGCTCGTACCAACCGGTAGTAAAACAACACAAGTGATATCCCCAGCATCTTCCCCGGCACCTAGTTCACCGTTACCAACTTTAATACCAATCCCGCAAAGAACTGCGAGTACGGCGTCGGCATCGTCATCTTCCTCTTGTACCAACGGCTCGAATTCGCTCTCGGCATCGAGCCCAGTTAGTTTCGAAGCACCGCCACAAAACTTTGTTCAACAACAACCTACGCCCGTCTACGTAACTGGCAATAGTCACCGAGACGTAGCTACCTCACCCGCAAATGGATATACCAGCGATCCCGAGTTCGATCCTCGTGTTTATAGTCCACCACTTCAGAAACCGCTTGCCTTGGTGATGAGAAAAAGCGTCAAGCATGAATTGGAAAGCAAACCATGGAGGCCGTGGTAAAGTGACAATTATATATACATGTACATATATATAAATATATATATAAATCAGTGATGAACTTTGTGCTATGTATCAAATGAATTTGACTTTGTCGATGAATGGACACACACAGACAGTCATATATGTTCCTTGCGCTTGCGCTTGCGCACACACTTATAATGTAAATAGTATCTTTTATTTTTTATTTTATATCTCTTTTTTTTTCTCGTACGTGGATTATGATAAATTAAATCATACGTGTATATTATTCAATGAAATATCGATGAATTTAGCGCGAGTGCGTGTGATAATACTGACGAACAAACAAGGTGGTGCCTTATCAAAGTGCCTTAAATGATTTATACACGTATCCACGATTCGTGCGTCAAATCGAATTACTGTCGATATCTGTTTGTTCACGGGAAGACAAAGAAATAATGACGATTTTGTTAAAAAAAAAAAAAATAAAAAACCATAAAATATTTCGTTAGAAAAAAAGGAAAAAATTAATTCTTTACTCTTGTGATCAAATTTT